CTCACAATTTGCAAACTATAGGTATCGATTATATCATAGAGATGTCAGTGAAAATTGAACCCAAGACATCTAAGTTTATAACTTATTTTAGAATTAATCTTACATCGTTAGACTACTTGCACACATTGAGCCTCCGTGGTAGTCTAATGGAAAAAGTATGCATGTTAATAATTGATTGACTATTGCATAAAGGAGACTGATCCAATTTTTTATAATGAGAAAACTACTTTAACGTAAATTCAAATTGCACACCGACTTGCGATCAAATCTCAAGTACCTATAATCACGTATTAATCATAAGTATTGGTTAATTTTGAATAATCAATATACAAGTATTTTTATTTATTTTTTTTATGTTCGTTTAGGTACAAAAAGAGTTTACACTTCCATTATCAAGAACTTTAGCATTTTGGAATCGTTTACAATTCCTGGTATAAATTCTCTTGCTATGTGAAGCTTCATAAACACAGAATGTTACCCCTTAGGATTGAGCTAAGGTTTTTGTTTTTTATTTCTTTAAAAAAAAAAATTCCTTTGATCCTTTGAGTTAGGATTTTTTTTTTTTTTTAACATATGTCGATAAATTTTTATTGTATAGAAGAATTAGTTATTACGAATTAAAATATTTTATTAACAGCAGAGTACAAGACACCCACAATAGGGTGAAAGATGTTGGGAATAGGAGTAAATATTGAATCTAACGGTGATAACATATCGTCATTGATGACATTGTATTACCAACTAATAATAAAATCTCAAGTGGATAAGGTGAAACCTACTTAAACTTACATAGAGAAAGATGATGAGTTATTTACATACATGATAGGTTGGTTATTAATTTTTGTGGGGTCTATTCCTTATTTGTTTTAATATTATTGGCTGGTCAAACTGCATCACATTGTAATGTTGTATCATTGTTGTAATGAATATTTTCTCCGGGCAGAAGGCACAATAAAACATTTTTTTTTTGAGAGAACCTCCAAAATTACGTGGATTTCTAATAAATATAATAGTAGAAATGCCCTCAGAAGGGGTAGCAGATAAAAAAACTTAAAAAAAAAAAAAAAAAGGGTTAGGACAACAACTTTAAGTGAAAACCTTAACAGGGATTTTTGTGTATTGTATGAGAAGAAAATATTAGATGACTAGATGTTCATAGAAATGCAAATATTGTGAGAAGATAGGTACCGAAAAGTTTGCTTAAATTCAAACAAATTGCTCTTTTTTTTTATTCCACGTTTAGAGTGTCTGGGTCAATTTAAGTATATCTCGATTAATCTCCTTTCTAGTCCGATCAACGACAGATCATCCAAATCAGAACTAGGGTATTCATGAGGAATACATTTCTTATGACCTTACTCCAAAGAATTGTCAAGATTTGAATTCAGGACGTCTAAATTTACAGTTCGTTACCACTTGAGCTACCCCTTAAAATTAACAAACAATTCTTTTAACGATGTGGAAGATAAAAAAAAAAACATTTTATCTTAGTAATTCTATATTATAAAATAAGATAAATTTTAATAAATTTATCCGACGGTCTCAAATAGACTCATCTAACGGCCATTAACATTCCTCTTAAATTTTCAATGTGTCTTCAGGCACAGATTACCTCTAATTTATGTTAAAATTCAACTAAAAAAGGACCAGTACTCAAAGATCCATGTTATATTTTCAATATCTTCTTAAAATTTTACTACCATATATCTTGGATCATCTTGCTTTTTCTTTTTTAATATTATGATTAGGGTATTTGAGTCAGATTACACACACCTCCTATCCCATTTTCAATCCAATCAAAGACAAATTATTTATACTAAAATTAAAGAATTCACGGAAAAAAAATCCTTTATAATTGAGCCCGAAGGGAGTTGCCAAGCTAGAACTACCATAACAATTTTTCAAGTCATTTTCTGAAAACCATTTTCAAGTAGTTTTGTCAATAGGCATTATACCGAACCACAGGGAAGGATTATATCCTCTTTTAAAATTTGAAAAAAATAAAATAAAATGATCATGCTGTTATGATATTCTTTAAGATAAGACTTGCAGACTATCTTAAAAACATCATGTAGAATACTAAAATAAACACAAACGTCTTAAATTTGAAATTAGCAACTCGTTTGAGTCAGATTATAAAGGATTTTATCTCTTATTAATACTCTAGTCCTGTTGTAAATGACTTATTTTTAACCGAATCGAAAAATAATTAATCAAAATACACGTAAACTGACTAAGACATTCTTAATCGTTGAACCAAAAAAATAAAAATAAATAAATAACTGTTACCAGACGTTTTGGGTCATGTGGACGAAAGTATTAATTTTCTTAGGTGGGATCACTTAGACCGTGTGAGCGCTTGACCGATGATCATCCTTGAAACACAATTAATAATTTTTTTTCTTTGAAAACCACCCAAGATTGATAAGAAAAAGCAATCTTCTATATCATATTACAACAAAAAAAAAAATTGAATTTTTAATTTATAAAACTATAAGATTCATTCTAATTTTTTTTTCTGCTCAATAAATTTTTCTTTACACGTTCACATAATTCAATCAAAACACTTTCTAATGTTAAACAATTCTATTAAGAGTATTTTCAACCTTTATCTTTTTTTAGACCCACATTAAAATTTGGGTAAAAATTCTTAAAATTTTTCTCTTATTTTATACCCAAACTCATACCAAATCAAGAGAAACTTAATTTTTTTTACCCAAATCAAGTGAGATTCAAATGTTTATCTTTTTTTGAATGGTTAGATTTCATTCTTCTTTAAAGATTTAATAGTCATATGCTATCCTCCTTTAAATTTAGATTTGTCTTCATTTAAATTTAAGTTTGTCTTCCTTTAAATTTAATTTCTTCATCAGAGAGGTTTATACCCTTTTTTTTAACTAAAATTTGGGTAAAATTTTGAATTTACATTGGAGATGATCTAATTTATGTTTACTTTTCTCATATTTCTCCCTTTCTTTACTTTAATTTTAATTTATAAAATTAAAATAATAAAAAGTAAACTATTATTATTAAAATATAAATATTACACAATTAATAGTCAATTGAGCATTGTCAGCCTCGAATTTATTGTTAGTACATATATATATATATATATATATATATATATATATATATATATATTATGAAAAAGGTAAAACCATCATTTCCTTATTATTGTCACTACAAGTACAAATATATGCAATCATATTTAGACGATTAGGCATGGGGATGTTTTGGAAATATAGTGGGAACAACAAGGGCATTAAAATAAGACACGTCATATTCTCTAATCTCCATGTTATTCTTTTCTTTAATTTCTTGGCCTCCAACCTCAAACTTTATTTTGCTTTTTTTTTTATTTGTTGTTTTGTTGTGTTTTCACTTTAAAAAGGTCTTGACCGTTGCTTTTGCTCAACGTCTCTCTCTCTCTCTCTCTCTCTCTCTCTCCCGAACACAGCAGAACTGTGATCAGCCAGCTTCTTCATCTTATTACCGCCCACCATAACCAAGGTACGATTCTTCACTTCTATCTCATTCTAGACGGTACTACTCGTGTTTGTTTTAGTTTGTTAGAACTAGTTCCCAAAAAAAAAACAAATCATGCACTGTCAAGTGTTCAAACAGGTTTGTTGTGTTGCGTATATCTTCTCTGTACGGTATTGTTGATTTCTCTTGAATGCTTGCATATCTGAGCGGTAGTTTTCATCACTAAATTTTTTTTTTTTCTCATAAGAAAAGGGGTAGAGTTCTAAACTTAAGTGCTTTTTGGAGTTTGAAGCATTGATAAATATCTGAATCCAAATTGCATGATAAAAGTTCATTTCAAAATGGGTTTTGGGTTTTATAGGCTAGTTAATCATCTGGGTTCTTATTAATTCAATTTTCTGTTTCTTCTAGAGTAATTTGATTTTTTTAGATGGGTTTAATTTTCATGGGTTGATGAGTGCGATTCCTAATATTATCAAATGTGGTATCTGATAGACAATTTTTATGTTTTCGAAGGTTTTTACAAGTCAGAGTTTAAATGCTGCTGAAGGTTTGGTTTTGGTTACAAAAGGTTTGGTTTTGGTGCTTCGCTATGCTTCAATCTTGTTTTTTCTTGGTCAATTGATGCTTTATAAAAGGATTTCACTGTTAAAAGTTTCTAATAATACATTTGAAGATGTTAGCTTTTTTCCACTCCCAATAAAAATCCATGCGAGAGTTCATCATCTGATGAGATCTGCTTTAGTCCTTTCCCTTCTTTTGCTGTGCCCTACCCTTACTACCTTAGTGCTGAAATTGTCACCTTAAAATTGGTAACTTGTAACTTCATGTTTCCACAACTCATCTTCCGAGAGTCCTTTGGCTTATTTCCTTTTGCATGATGCTGTTTTCCCCCCTCATTACTGACACTACTTTGATCATCATTTTATCCCCCGGAAAACCCCAATCTGATCTTACTTGTTCTCTTTAGTTCAATTTTAGCATATTCATGACCGAACACACTCACGGATTTTGGTTCAAATTATGTATTTGCTTGTATCTATTTCTCAGATTTCATGACTTGTACCTTGGCCCTGTTGGGAGGGGGGGGGGGGTGTTTGAACTTATGTCTCAGTATATATTCATGTGCTTTTAGTTAGGAAAGTTTAGGAAGAATGCAACAAATATTCAGTTATAGCTTCTCATGTTCTCTTGTGTTTTCTGTGACTTACTTGGAAACTAAGAAAAGAACCTCTATGCTTTCAAATTTTTTTCCTTGCAGATGAATCTCACTAAGATTGCAATTTTGTTCAGTATTTAGTTGTAATACCTTTATTATTTTCTGTCTCTGCTTCCTTCTTCACATTTGGTGATTTTATTTGATGATTTATCAATTTCAGTTCAACAGCTAGGGAAATACTTATGAATCTGGTGAGAATTAACAGACAACTCCTTTGTGATCTCCAGTACGATTCAAGCCTGAAAAATTCATAGAGAGGTCCAAGAGTCAAAAGATAAGAGACCTGAAGTGAGAGATGGGATGTTCGACATCCAAATTGGACAATGAAGAGGTTGTGCAACTTTGTAAAGATAGGAAGGAGTTCATCAAACAAGCTGTTGAGCATAGAAGGAGATTTGCCTATGGGCACATTGCTTATATCCAGTCCATGAAAAAAGTTTCTGCTGCTCTACGAGATTATAGTGAAGGAGATGAACCCCGGAGTTCTTGTTAGATTCATTCAATACCCCACCCTTCACAACCATAAAGAAAGTGAGTCCCGGGTTCATCTCGATATCACCGAAATCTTTATCAGTAAAATCAATCCAATCGACACCAAATTCAAAAATTAAAATAAACTACCTAAGGTCAGGTGGGAATCCATCAGTTTCTGTTGAGGAGCAGCCTCAATCACCGGAAACTGTTAGAATTGAAACGTACTCCCCAGTCAATCAATATGGGATGGATGGGTATTTCGGAATGCAATCCTCGCCCATGAATTTCTTCCATTATTCCCCTAACAATAGACCCAACTTTCCTCCCTCTTCCCCTCAAACTTCACAATGGGATTTCTTCTGGAACCCATTTTCATCATTAGATTATTATGGCTATCCCAACAGGAGCAGTATGGATCAGACTATTTTGGATGATGAGATCAATGGGCTAAGGCAGGTTAGAGAAGAAGAAGGGATTCCCGAATTAGAAGAAGAAACTGAACAAGAAGAGACTGACAATAGAGTAAATAGGACAGAGGGCAGAGCTAAAGTTGAAGTAAATTGCACTAGAGAAGAAGTTACTGTTGAAGATGTTGATGACGATGATGATGACGATGAGGATGGCTGTGAAGATGCAGATAGTGGAAATGATACTGAGCATGAAGTGAAAGGATTCCAATGCCATGGCAGTCAGAGCATGGAAGTATCCAATGCACAAAAAATTGCACAAGTCAGCAATCAAGAAACAGCAGTTGGTGATCGACAAGCTAATGAGGAAACACCAGGGTTTACAGTTTATGTAAAACGGAGGCCAACAAGCATGGCTGAAGTAATCAAGGATCTGGAAGCTCAGTTTGCAATTGTTTGTAAATCAGCAGATGAGGTATCTGCTATGTTAGAGGCTAGCAGGGCTCAGTACACATCAACATCAACTGAACTCTCAGGTTCGATAACGCAAGCCAAATAGCTCTGTCTCTGTAGTTATATTTGCATCCATACCTATTGAATTCAAATATAAAAAGTGCATTTTTATATCACTTATTACTGGAGTTTTGAACAAATCCACACTAAATTGGATGTGGCTACAACTTCTTGGGAGAATGATGTTTTTAGTTTAAATTGTCGAGTCATTTGTCATTTGTCATTTGCATCTGGGAGAAGCTTACTAGATCTAAAACCAGATTGATATTGATATGGAGAATGATTTTATAGTAGATAGAACTATTGCTTACCACATCGAAAATGTCGTGGTTAAGACAATATGAGACTGCATATACAGGTTTTGATAAGGGACTTTTTTACCACTTAAAAAAAAAAAAAAAAAAAAGTAGAGCATTATGGGTAATCAGACCCAGTTGAAATGCTTCACTAATCCATGAAGTAAGAATTTTCTAGGGAAATAGAAGTACCATAATTTGTTTGATTTTTTATTCCAAACATGATGAAAAAGCTATGGGGTCTTAGAACTGCTTTCAAGTATACATGATCTAAGAGCAAGGAACTAAGGTTATGATATAACATCTTGATGGCACGCATTGAGTGTGGATCAAAATTTATTGATGTAAAAATAGTTCAATTTTGTTTTTAGACTAGATCCCAGATTTGTGTACTCTCTCTTTGAATTCTTATATATGACCATGAATATTACATTTTTTACAGACAAAATTGCAATATGATACTTTCCAAAAAAAACAATTGCAATATGAGGTCGATATAAGCTTCATATAGGTAATGCATCATAACTGTCTCACGAACAAAGCCTTCGGTGGTAAAATCAAAAAACTGTTCAAAATACCTTTTTATTTTTCTTTTTAATTCCTTAACATTTTTATCCATTTCTGAACATTTTAGTCAAGTTACTCTTTGTAACATTTGATTTAGTTGTTTTGCTTATTTGCTTTTGCAGCTGTGAAAA